TTAGGTTTTGTGGGCCATACCATCTCTGTAACTACCTAACTCTGCCCTTGCAGTGTGAAAGCAGCTACTTGTAAATGAATAGGAGTTCCTGTGTTCCAATAAAACTTTATGCCTAAAAAAATGCAGGCAGCAGGCTGGATTGGCCTCTGTGCCAGTTTCCTGATCCTCTAATCCAGTATTTGGCCTTCCTGACTTACGTATGTTAACCACCCACTTTTGACGCCCTCTTTTTTAAGTTCTGGAAAGCTAATTATTCCTACCTCTCTTAAAGCCTATTTTATGTATCTTTTTCCTACTTACTTCTAGTAGGCTGGTGTTTCTCCAGGTCCAGTTTTTGGTCCTCTTGTTTGCCTTCTTTAAACTCCCTTAACATCACACAGTGTGTGAGGTGCTCTCCATGCTAACCATTCTCCGGAAGGAATTCCTACATTTCTGTCTGCTGTAGGTTCTAGGTATTTTGTCCATCTGAATCATTGGCACCTCACACTTTGTACAACAAAAAAGTCATTGTCATTTTCATCTTTCCAGCTCACCTGCTTTTGGCCCTGTTCTTTCTTTCTGCCTATCTGTCCCATGGAGTTGAGATAGCAATGAATTGTGACGACACATAAAACACCAACATAATGATGAGAACACATGAGGCAGTCAGTAAATGCTAATTCCCCTCTTAATGCAATCAATATCTTGATTTGAAACCTTGGAGATAACCTTGACCTCTTCTATTTTGCAGCACATCCAATACACTGTGTTCTTTTGTTTTATTCTATAATCTCTTGCCTCTGACTTCTTCTTTTCCTTCTCAACACCATTTCCTAATTTAAAGCTCTCTATCAGTTAGAAGTTACATTTGCTGCACATGATAACTGCAACAGTAACAACACAGCAAATTTACATCAGCTTAACCCAGTGGAGTTTGATACTTCTCATGGAACATTATGTCTGGAGGTAAATAGACTCAGGCTGGTGTGGGGGCTTTATAATGCCATCAGAGACCTGATGTCTCACTCTCTTCTCAGCTTTCACAAGTACCATTTGTCATCATGCTTTTCACTCTGTGGCCACAAAGTCATGTTGCATCTCTAACTTTACATCTATATTCCAGGCCAGAAAAAAGGAAAGGGCAAATGGTAAAAGGCCAAAGAACTAGATCCAGGTGTCGTGACTCACACCTCTAATTCCAGCAGCTCAGGAGGCTGAGGCAGGAGGCTCACAAAGTGAAAAGCCAGTCTTAGCAACTTAGTGAAGCCCTAAACAACTTAGTGAGACCATGTCTCAAAATAAAAAATAAAATAGGTTGAGGATATGGTTCAGTGGTTAGGTGCCCCTGGATTCAATCCTTCGTACCAAAAAAAAAAAGAAAAAAGAAAAAGAAAAGAAAAAAGGAACTCGGTTAAGCACTACCATTTGTTGTGTCACTGCTGTGTCAGGCAGTATGTCATTTATATGTTATATTTAATTCTGATAAGAGTGTTTGTGAGATGGTTTCCTTTAACTGCCGCCCCTCCCCCACCTATTACAGATGAAAGCACTGAGTTGCAGAGCAGTTAAGGAACTGGATGAAGATTATGCAGCCTTAAAATGGCCAAGCTGAGATTTTGAACCAGGTGCTCTGAGTCCAGAGCCCAAGTTTTGTATTACAATCTTTTTGCTTTTCCAGAGAAAAGCACCAATAAATCAGGCACGTTTTCACTTAGTAAAACTCTTGGCCATAACCGAAGCTCCCTGGGCCAGTGACTGCCTGTCCTGGGATGGGTTTACCTTTACTGGGGCAAAGGGGAGGTATGGGTTACAGATCAAGAGCTAAGGTCACTCCAGGAGGTCTACACTGAGTCTTTGCAATAGAAATGGCCACTTAAAGCTCTGACACATTATTAGAACTGCCTTCCACCAAAAGAAATACTGTAGGAAAAGGAGAATAGGATTTCAGACTATTTACTTAGAAAATACATTAGTTCCACTCAGTTCCTGCTAAGTAGAGGACTTGCCAGGGTGCTTGTAGCAGAATATTCTAAGAGCAGACTGAAAAATCATTGACATTCATCTTACCATCTTACCCATGGGATCACTCTATAGAACACACATTCACTTTTATGGAAAGTAAAGGTAGAGCATTGGAGGGCTTGGAACAATTTTTATCCCACGTATTGGGTTCTCTAGCCACCTCTCAGTAGGCAGTTCCTGCTAAGCATAACTAGCAGGCCCCTGAGTTCCATTTTAAAAATTTATTTATTTATTTATTTATTTTTGTTTTAGGTGGACACAATATCTTTATTTTCCATTTTTGACCCACGGGAGCAACAACTTGGCCTACGAATTGCTGCTCCCTTATAGAATGGGTCCTGGCTTGTGCCCTCATAATAAATTAGGGGCTCTAACTTTAACTATGCCTGCCTTAAACAATACCACTCCTTGCCATCTATCTCTGCATATATTCCATCTTGTTCAAAGGTTGCTGATGCCTGGGCATTTCCCTGATGTATGAAAGGAAATGGGCATCTGACATCTTCAGGGAAGGAAGAAGTATTGTCTTTGTTACTAGTCATTTTTCCCAAAGTGATTGGATGATGATCACATTTTGACTTAATATGCTCCATGGCTCTAATTCCTGAAACTATGTGCAGAATGAGGTTTGAATAGTTTGTGACACTAAAATAGTTCCTTGACAATCATTTACAATTTAGTATACATCACTGGAATTACACCCATCAGTTAAACATAGTCTGTTTTTATAATACATAATGCCATAGGTCATTTAGTTACTGGTGATTTTTATGATGATTTTTATTGTTTTGCCATACTGTAAAAATAACATGTTCACATTTTTAAAATTAAGGGAGTAAAATTTTTTATTGGTTATTTAAAACATTACAAAGCTCTTGACATATCATATTTCATACATTAGCTTCAAGTGGGTTATGAACTCCCATTTTTACCCCGTATACAGATTGCAGTATCACATCAGTTACACATCCACGTTTTTACATATTGCCATACTGTGACTGTTGTATTCTGCTACCTTTCCTATCCTTTACTATCCCCCCTCCCCTCCCCTCCCCTCCCATCTTCTCTCTCTACCCCATCTACTGTAATTCATTTCTCTCCCTTGTTTTGTTTTGTTTTTTCCTTTCCCCTCACATCCCCTTATATGTAATTTTGTATAACAATGAGGGTCTCCTTCCATTTCCATGCAAATGCAAATAAATATAAGCAAAAATATGTTGAAAATCTCATATCCCAGAGATGACTTCTAATATTTTGTTTTTTAATATGCATATGAAATGTACTAATTCTATCATACTATTTAACTGACTTTACTTGATAGCCTACCATAAATATTCCTGATATTGTGAAATAGTTTATGGAACATTGATAGCTTAATATATTTGGGGTAGACCTTATACTCAAATATTCCATCTACTACTTACTCCATCCCCCATAGGAGACTGTCTTTGTTTTCTTTTTTTTTAAATTATCTTCCCAGAGTTTCTTTACATAATATAGGCAAATTTGAATATATATTTTTATTCTCCCATGAGTTTTACACAAAAGCTAGCACTTTGTTTTCATACTCTAATACCTCAATTTTCTAACAATCTTCCACTCTTTCTGCAGCATTGTTGATGGCTTCATTATTATTCCATTACTTGATTAAAGTATTTTAACCAATTTAGTATTTTTGGCTATTTAGCCTATCTAAAAACATTCTCATAGATTTATCTTTTCATACAATCCATGATTATTTCCCTAGGATAAATTATTTGGAATTCTTTGCTTGACCATTTGCTCCTTGTTTAAAATGACTCCTGAAAGATTATATCACTTTATATCTCTCCCAGCAACCATCAACAGTAGGTAAAAGGAACTTAATTTAAAAGAGGCTAGTTGCAACAGTGAACTTTTTGAATATTATATACAAGAAAAAATAAGAATAGAAATTCAGTGGGTTAGTGGTTTTGAAGTCATGGCAGGAGAGGGATTCAGTAAGAGGTAGTCAGGCATCCTTGAAAGAACATGTTGGAATGGAGTGAGATGTGAGTTCTGGTCTTGCCTCTGATGTGAATCTGGGATAGGTCTTTAAGTCTGTTTTCCAATCACTGAAAAAGGGAAGAATGCTTACTGGGTTTATCTGGGTTCATATTGTTCTAAAAGAATTTATGAATATGTGGGAAACTTTTCTAGCTCTAAAATTCCTCAATTTTGTAGCTGTTGCTTCTTGTTCAAAGGAAATAAAAATTGAGCTTCTACTTAGGGTGCTGTGTTTTGAAGGGACAGGCCTTCCTCTTCCTAATGCTCTGTTATTAATTTCTCTTCATTTCAGTAAAGGCTAAGCTTAAACTTCTCACCACCACATAGGGCAGCCCCTTAACTTCCATAGATGAGCCTTCACAAAATTCAGGGAGAACTGGAGAAAGAAAGTTAAAACTACAAGAGATTTCTGGCTGCATAGTTATATGCATATTTTAAAAACACTCAGACATTTATTTTTAGATAGGTAATGTTAATCTGCAAAGCAGGAAGAGACAATCATGTGGTTCCTGTAAATACCAAATTTGGGATGGCGGTGGTATTAGCTTTGGCTCTTTGTGGTGCAGTGATTTAACATATGGCAAAAAGAGAGGCAATGAAAAACTGCCCCCTGTCAGGCCTTCCCAATGTGGGCGTTGGTCATCAGCCAGCTTCCATGGGCATGTGTTCTACTGGTCAGCTCTTTGTCAAAGCTGTTTGTCATTAGAAGCTTCCCTGACTCCACCAAGTGAGAACTTTGGTCACTGAGATAAGATTGGTCAAGAATAAATACCATGTCCAGGGCTGGGGATGTGGCTCAAGCGGTAGCGTGCTCGCCTGGCATGGGTGCGGCCCGGGTTCAATCCTCAGCACCACATACAAACAAAGATGTTGTGTCCGCCGAAAACTAAAAAATAAATATTAAAAATTCTCTCTCTTAAAAATAAATAAATAAATAAATACCATGTCCAGTCATGTCCTTCCTTTCTCTACAGCAAGCAAGCTAAAGAGGAGCCAGGCAAGCAGGAACTGGAAGCCTTAATTGACACAGTCCAGAAGCAACTGAAAGATTATTCATGCAAAGATAACATACATGAAGCATTTCAAGCTCATGACAAGGAAGCATTAGGATATGTGGACAGAGAGATGTTCTTTAAAATCTGTGAATCCTTTAACGTCCCAATTGATGACTCCTTGGTTAAGGAGGTTGGTATGAATTTCTTTTGGGGGTTGATTATAGAGGCTAAGCACCAATCATTCTTTCCTAAAGGCAATTGTATGTGTATTTTGTTTTAAATGAGGGAGATTTAGGATATTCCAATCATAACTACTGTCCTTGATTATGGTATTTTCCCCGATTCTAGCATTGGCATCCTTGTTTAATTTCTGTTGAAGGGCTTCTCAATAAGTGGGCCTGGGACTAGATAGCACAGAGTGTTGATAGACCAATACGTCAGGGCTGAAGGAAGGCAGCAGAGATGACCCTGGATGGGGAGCTGCCAGGAGGAGACCCAAAGATCAGTTGATTGAATAGGATGGTGGAAAGCCTTTAATGCCCTTCACAGCCAACATGTAGCTTAGCCCCTCAGTAGGGCTAGTATGTGGACACAAACACTGCCCAAGCAGTATGTAAGGGGTATGGTCAGCCACAAATAAACAAAAGGCAAGGAAGTTCTTCTCCTAGAATTTTCATAAATCAATTAAGTTTCATGCTGTTCCTTCATTACTAATTCCTTTAGTCAGGGTTCCCCTGAAAGTCAGAACAAAATCCATCCCCCTAACACATTTGCCAAGGACTCTGGCTTACTATCTTCAAAATATTCACACTAAGAACATTGAAATTCTATAGCCCTTCTTGAAGATATTTAAGCAAAAACCAAGTTCAGAATTAAAGATTCATTTAGGAAAGGATTTTGTTTAGGGCTAAAGTGACTAGGTTATAGATGAGTAGTTTTTATGAACAGGAATATTAGCAAGGAGTAGAGGCGGGCAGAAAGAAGGGTATTTGTTCATGTGGGCCAAGCGTCCAGTTAACTCCCCATACCTTAGATTGACAGCATGCCTACTTTGATTTTAGTAATTTATACCATATGACATGGGAACTGACTTGGGAGAGAGGAATGGCTGTCATTGGGAAGTGGGACAGGGAAGGGAAAGGTGGGGTAGATTTGCACATGTCTTACAAAGACAACCACAGGAAATCATTCTGTTATCAGTCACAGCTGAGTTTCAGGGGACACAGTATAAACAGTAATAGAACTAGATTCTTTTATTAGGTTGCAATATTAGCAACCTACTATATAAGAGTCTTATTTCCTGGTAGACAAAGGCTTCTACTTGAAACAATTTGCTTTGAAAATGACAGCACCCTTATAAATATGGGTGATCATCTTGAAATCTTGGGCAGGTAATTTATACCATCCAACTTTGGTTTCATTAAGTTGAAGATGATGGCAATGTCTGAACTACCTACAAGGTTCATAGGATCATTTATGAATCAACTGAGGATATAAAAACTGAACTTTGGGTTTACAAAGGTAGGGGATAAGTGTGCTCTGCAGTTAAGTTGAAGGAAGCCCACCTGTCTCATTTGTTCTCTTTGCTCTCTTCTGCAGTTAATCAGGATGTGCTCTCATGGAGAAGACAGAATTGACTATTATAACTTTGTTCGTGCTTTCTCAAACTGATCTGGCTGATGAGAGAATACAATATAATTTTTTTTATGTTGGAGCCACAATTGGAAATATATCTTGTAGAGCTCCTGAAGTTATATTTCTTTTTTGATTATATTTCACTTCTCCAAAAATCTCAATTAAATTGGTTTTTATAGGATTAGTGCCTTATTTTGGGTGGTTGGGGTATTGTCATGGTTAATTTTATGTGTCAATTGACTGGGACACAGACTACCCAGATATTTCATCAAACATTATTCTGTTTTTGATTCAGAATACATCTGAATTGGTAAGCAAAGCAGATTGCCTTCCCCAAAGTGGTTGGGCCCAACTAGTCATCTGGACAAAACAAAATGGCTGACCCTCCCCTGAGTACTAGCAAATTCCTCCTGCCTGACTGCCTTCAAACTCAAACTGAAACAACAGTCCTTCACCTTCAGGCCTCAGAAAGGAGCTACACCATCAGCTGTCCTAAGTCTCAGGCATTTGGACTCAGATTGGAACTATAGCCTCAGCTCTCTTTCAGCTCTAGCTTGCCAACTCACCTTCAGCTTAAGGAGCTTAGGCTCCAAAATGCGGATCATTTCTCATGGTAGTAATCATTTATACTATTACTCATTTCTTTCTTTGTATATGTCTATACACATACATACACATTCTGTTGGTTCTGTTTTCTCTGGACAACTGTAACAGATATAGCATGATTAAGTGCAGGATGAATGAGAATTTTCTAGAAACATTTGGGATATTGAAAATAAGTGCCTAGCATTGATGTTGCTGCCAGCCAATGGCCCCCACCACTACCTACCTGCCTGTCCCGATATTGTAGAGAAACATAGTATGTGTTTTTAAAACTCTGGTTCAAGGCCCATTAGTTGACCTGCATTTTTTAAAAATGGAATATAAAAGATCGGTGTGGAACAAATGTAGAGTATGTATTTTCATGAAACTTATTTCCTGAGTATATTTGATGGGTTATGAAGGAAAATGTTTTTCTTGATGTGGGTGCTGTTTTAAAAAGTAGAAAACTTGCTCTTTTAGAGCGTCTGGCATTAAGATAGTGGGGGAAGACTGATAGCAGTTGTTGGCTCTCTAATGAGTTCTAAATGACTTTCTAGCCAGTGCTGCTCTTTAATCGAAGTCAGTTACCAACTTCATCTTTTCAAATGCCATCTCAAATTCTTCTGTGCCACCCAAAATATGGCATGAATGAGGATGGAGTTACACAGGACCAAGGATGCCTGGGCCTCCTCAGAATTGCTGGGAAGCTGCCCTCGATCTTTCCTTCCCTAATGAGCTGTTACCTTTGACCAGTTTAAAGGCTGTAGATGCATTGTTGATGCCTCCTTTTGTTCCAGGTTATTATCTCAGGAAGAACCCATACTTTGTTTCCTTCAGTCATTCAAAACTATTTTAAAATTCTCAAATATTTAAAAAGTCCACTTCAATCTTTAAAAAATACTAAATTCTATCCTGTTTTCCCAGCTCAGTCCTGCCTCAGGCTTGGAAGCCATTAGTAGAGTGTATGTGTTGGGACAGGAAAAGTCCTTTCTCTGGCTTTTGTTCCCTTTGTCTCTATTCAGGCCAGCTGCTGTTTGGGCCCAAGTAGGATCTAGGAAGGGTTAGAGGGCAGAACCAGAGAAAAGGGAAACTTCTCATTTCTATCAGGTAATGTCATCATAATTTGGGTTGAAGGCTGAGTAACGTATGTCCAAAGCCTATCACTTTCTCCAAGGACACTGTGTATGTGTGTGTGTGTGTGTGTATTCTTAGGGCACCTTCACACAGGAAACCTCCTTGTGCACCATTCTCAGATGCAGATGGTCTAGTAGCCAACTGACTGCCCTGCTGTAACAGTCTGCTGCCCAGGCTCTTCATCTGTCAGAATGGGGCCCTTTCAGCCCTGCTAGGGTATGTACTCATGCTGAAAGATTCTCTTGGTTCTGCAGTTAGGTAGCTATCCTTGAGACTTGTTTTAGATGAGAATCAGGCACCCCAAATCTTGTGCTCTCCAAACTCCAAGAGACACGTCAAACCACATCTGTTAAAGTCATCCCCATCCCATCTACCCCTTACTTAGCTTGCAGACCTGCTATATCCTGATGCCCTTTTCAGAAGTCTACAGTCTCCAATCCATTCTCCATCATCCCTGCCTCTTGAGGAAGACAGAAGCTCACAAAGGCTTTGGGTCCCTCCAATGTAAATCTTTCATGGATCAGCCCAATTGGCAGCATGTGGAAATACTTACCAATTTTTGTCCTCAGCATTGGGCCTTAGCTGAAATGGAGATTTAGGAACATCCCCCTCTACCTGCCCTTTGAAATCCAAGTGTTCGTAGACGTTCTAACTCTTTTTATTTCCCTTTATCTTTTCCACCAGATACAAGAAATATCTTTCTATTCAATTACTGAGTACTAGGATTAAACTTTCAGCCCCACTACAATTGTTAGAAGCATCTCAGCTAGCTTGAATAAGGTTTATATATTCCTCAAGCTTGCTTTCTACTTCTCACCTGGCCTCCCTTCCCAAGCTCACCCAAGATTGAGAAGCTAAGATCTGACAGCACCATCACAAGGTATGAGCACTACCTCATGAAAGACCCTAGCCAGCAGGGCATTTCTTTGGTGTCCTCACACTGTTCACCCGTTAAGTTTCCACAAGGCAGCAACTTTACGAATCACCAAAATCAGAGCGAATCATTTTCCTACTAAAATCCTGAATGGCAGTGCAGCCATTAGATGTCACTAATTACCATGTGCCACAGTTACAGCTGGGCTCAGGTGAAGGAAGACAGCAGAGTTAGCCTACAGCAAGCAATATTGTAGGAAGAAATGGCCATCATTTCCAATTGGCCACCAAGGAGTTTAGTCAGAAATAGAGAATTTCCATTACCAAGTAGCACTGGCATTGGAGGCACACTGGAAGCCACAGCTATCAGCTTTAACTAAAGGATACGTCTAAGACTCGTGAGGGTGATTTGTGGATTCAGGGCTAATCATATCTTGTGGAGGAAGATAGTCTGTGAGGTAGCCACTACTGACTGACCTGAGCTGGCACCCTGTCTATACCACTAGGGGGCCTTGAAAATGCCACCTAATAATTAGGTGTAGTAAACCCATGTCTTTGAGGGTGTTTGGGACCAACAAGTGGAGAAGACTTCTCTAAATGTTTCCAGAGAATCGAGGTTCACTTAGGTAAGTGACTCCCGAATATCTTGCTGGCACCCAAGTATGAACAGGTTCACTTTAAAAAAATGTTTGACAGCTTTACTTATTCCATGAACTTAGTATTCACTATCACTATTTCCTATAAAACAAAAACAAAACCCCTAGCTAGGTCACCTATCTTCTCTCATGAGGGAGGTTAAGTGCTGGAGTCACCTAGTTTCTCACACACAGCAGGACTCCAACTCAAACCTGCCAAAGCTCCTCCCTCCCCGATTAGGTCCACTCACCTTCACCTCAAGCAGATGCTCTCTGGTAATTCTCACACCCTGTGGATGTCTATGACTAACTAACTGAAGCTCATCTCCTGAGCTTCAGCTACAGGAAACAACAGGCCATATAAGTGACATCAAAAATCCTAAGTGCCCACCATTACTACTAAAACTGGGATGTCTTCTAGTCAGCACCAACATACTTGGTGGCACTGAAGCCTATGTCCTCTAAGCCAAATGACATCATATGATAGCAGGCATTAAGCATAGAGAGCTTCCTTCTGGAGCCGCCTGCTCACAAACCCCATGCTAAGAAAATCCCCTTTTCTACTTTACTTGTTATAGATTGAATTAAAATGATACATATTACCATCCAGCACTTTTTATAACTGATTCTCCATCCTTCATTCCAATTCCCTGATTCATATCACCACAGTGAACAAATATATCTCAAGAAACACAAGAAATGACTATGGAGTGAAAAGTTTTACACATGAGGGCTAAAACTGATGTAAAGTCACTTGTCAAGTAAACCAACATAAGTATCCAGATTAAAAAGCACTCCTACATAGAGGCATGTCAAGTTATTTCAGAGACAATTAAGACTGATAATTCTATGCCTTTTATTCAGTTATTACAGAAAATATTTGATCATTTGTTTCAAAATGTACATTAAAAAATCCATACAAAACTGTAATTTGTTTTAAAACCAGACAGAAACAGTGGAAAAAGGATTTTGAAAAAAGTTCACCAAAAGTAAAATAGACATCCCTCCCCCCAACCCTTTTACTTGAAAGCATAAATACGGCAGGTACAAATTTTCCTTGAGTTCCTTGTGGAAATTTGGTCCATAACATGAACAGGCTAAAGTAGAAAAACAAAGACAACTTGTCCACATTTGCATTATGAGTTGCTCAGGGCACCAGCAGCCTCAGTTCATCCTTCAGATGTTTATTTCAGAGGAACTGAAAAGTGAGGTTTGTAGTCTCAATACATAAACACTCGAATCTGCACCCAACAGGACGGTGGTACTCACTCCCACAGCCAGACCTGCTCAGACCTCAGGGCTCTCCACCCAGGGCTGATTCTCCATCCTCTCCATGTGCACAAGAAACTCTGAAACATTTTTACAGAGTGATGGTGACACCACGGGCCTCACACAGACTGTTATTCCCAGACGCTGACTTAGGTCCCATCCTGAGGATGTTTTTTTCTCCTTTTCAACAGATTTTTTATTTTTAAATATAAAGACTTCTAAGATGATGCCACACGTTCTACAAGAGGGCCACAGAAACCCACCCAGCATCATGAGTGACAGCAACATGGGGAAATGGCTGACATTTCTTCTGTAAGGGATTATGACTACCCCTGCCAAAGGTCCCTCCTCCCCACCTATATTACAGGGCAATGTAAGGGACAGAAAGGCCTGTGGAAAAGACCACGGGCTGGGAGGGTTATTGCACAACCCGGAAGGGTGGGAACAGGCATGCAGGCAGGTGAGGGGCAGGGAGGAGGTTGTGGCTACTAACCCACAAGGTCACCCCGATCAGGAGCTGTGGCGGTTCTGCAAGTGCTGGACTAAACTCTCTGTCAAACAGGTAAGGAGTTAGGTCTCTGGACCAGGAAGTACAAGTAAACACCTTCCACAAACTTTCAGAAGTGAAATAGATCAGAAGAGGTTACAGCAAGGGTGCCCTTTGTTTCTAATATGGGGTGAGAGGAGA